AACAGACAAACCAAACACTGGCTCTAGATAGGGACGTTCACATTTTTGCACATTTCCTACACACTGGACCTTTAGGTTGAGTATCACTGCACTAGAGCAATCACAACATACCACTCTCCCTCTCTATCTCTCTCTCCCTCTCTCCATCTCTCCCTCTCTCTTTAACCCCAACTGGTTGAGGCAGACGGCCACTCACCTAAAGCCGGGGTCTGTCCGAGGTTTCTGCCTCTTAAAAGGAGGTTTTTCCTTGCTGCCGTTGCCAAGGTCTTGCTCATGATGGTACTGTTGGGTCTCTGTAAATGTTATAAGGAGTTCGGTCTAGACCTCCTCTATTTGAAAAGTGTCCTGAGATAACTTCTGTTATGAATTGGGGCTATACAAATAAAATTGAATTGAAGTTGGAATCTCAAATTGAAATTGCGAATTGAATTGATATTTATTTGCATCACAGATAGGGTCCTCATCTCGCCTGTTTCGTGTGTTATTTTTGGAATCGTATTACTAGTTGCCACAACATGCCAGTTCGTGCCGTAAAATGGGGTAAAACAGAATCCGAAGCCCTGGAAAGAGTGCAGCTAGCTGGCATATAGAATCATCTCCCCCACCAGTGACACTTAATCGACTGCCTCACATGAAGTGAAATGAATGTGGCTGTGGTGGATCCCATAGATCTAATGCGTGCGGCTGCCTTTGAACAGCCTACACATATATGGCAAAGAAAGTTTTCAGTTGTCCAGGTTGCCTGTTTAGTTTTGATATTGATCTTTAGTGATTTAGATTCCCCATTATATTTGCAGTTGAGCAAATTAACTAAATTGATGGAGGGCGCCATACTAAACCACCATGTTTCTACAGTACACCAAAACAGACAGATCAAACACCTTTGATTACCTTTTGCAACTTTTGCGACCACCGTAAATCCTCCATACTCGTACTTTCTCCAAGCAAATAAGCTTGTCTTAGTTCGGAAAAGAGAGAAACTTGAATTCAGAAGGTGTCCCGTAAGTATTTTTTGGTTTAATAGAAACAATAGGTGTTCAAATATTTCCTTTCTTGACATTCTATTTATTTTTATTTTTATTTTGTTTATTAAGACTAAATGAGCTTGTGGCATGTAGCGAGCTTTATGCTCATACACCACCTGAAACACACAACAGTGATGTATCCAGCATCATAATCCTGACAAAGCAATGTAAGATTTTAACCACATCATAATCCTCCTATCTGATAATAAACACAAGACTAATCATGTAACATACATACATACATACATAAATACATACATACATACATACATACATAACTGTGCCACATCCGATGTATTTATTGTATTTCACTTGTAGGATTTAGGCCATTCTGTAAACGTTGTAAAAGTTACTAAATAGTTGAAATAATCGAGCAAGAAAACTCACTCAGAAGCAATTTGGGGTTCAGTATCTTGCTCAAGGATACTTCGACACTTGTGCAGGAGGAGCCTGGGATCGAACCAACAACCTTCCAATTAGGGAACGACCCGCTCTGCCTCTGCACCACAGCTGCTGATCCCGTGATCACATGATCCCACACTACTTCACAATGTCACCAAACTTCAACTTGCTTTGATCCCCTAATGGCAAAATAATACACTGACTGTACTTGTGGCTCTGTTGGCTTTTGAAGTAGACCAACCTTAGTGAAGCTTCATATTTACAACAAGTGATTGCACTTATATCAAAATGATGATGCTAGATGCTCCAGGCAGCTCACGTCCTTGTTATGTTATATTCACAATGTTGTACTTTGAGTCATTAGGCTACAGCATGAAAGACAATCAGTGAATGTTTCTTTAGTTCATAAAAGCATATTACCTGATTACTGAATCCAAATTACATATCTTCAGAAAGACTTTTCATTTTCTTGATTATTTCAACTAATTAGTAACTTTTACAACGTTTACAGAATGGCCTAAATACTACAAGTGAAATACAATAAATACATCAGATGTGGCACAGTTATGTGATTAGTCTTGTTGTGTTCATTATCAGATAGGAGGATTATGATGTGGTTAAAATCTTACATTGCTTTGTCAGGAATATGATGCTGGATACATCACTGTTGTGTGTTTCAGGTGGTGTATGAGCATAAAGCTAAATAAAATTTAAAAAAAAAATTTAAAAATAAAAATAAATCGAATGTCAAGAAAGGAAATATTTGAACACCTATTGTTTCTATTAAACCAAAAAATACTTACAGGACACCTTCTGAATTCAACTTTCTCTCTTTCTCTCAAAAGGTAATCAAAGGTGTTTGATCTGTCTGTTCTGGTCTACTGTAGAAACATGGCGGTTTAGTATGGCACCCTCCATGAATTTAGTTAATTTGCTCAATTGCAAATATAATGGGGAATCTAAATCACTAAAGATCAATACCAAAACTAAACAGGCAACTGGAAATTGAAAATGTTTGCATATATTCAGGTTGTTCATAGGCAATCAACAGCCACATTCATTGAGGAAGTCGATGCTGTGCATCGGTGTGAGTGTGTATGAATGCATTAGTTTCTGATCGATGGGCTTTGCCATC